CCAAAAAGTTATTTTCCCAAGCTCTGGAGCTGAAGATAGAATATCCCTTCTGTTCTTGAATGCTAGTGGTTTTCAAGCTTTGCCTGTGCCAGCTGGGTGCTTCTGGGAGCTGCCTTCCAGAAAAAGAACTTTTCCAAATTGCAGTTGTAGATAGAAGACTCATAGAATCGGGATTTTTGAGGATTTGAAAAGATCAGGTTTTCGTTCGAATTAACCCCCCTTTAAATTCGAATTTAGTTATCAGACGAGGCAGAACAGGACAAATCCCGTAAATTAAAGTCTTCCGCTCGTCCCATTTATTTCCACTTTCTCCCCGCAACTCCCCATGTGATAACGTACATAGAGTTGGAAGTGATCCTCCAAGGGTCATCCAGTCCAACCCCATTCTGCCATGCAGGAAGACACAGTCAAAGCACACCCAACAGATGGCCATCCAGCCTCTGTTTTAAAATCTCTTAAAAAAGGAGATTCCATCACTCTCCAAGGCAGCATATTACACTGTTGAACAGCTCTTACCATTAGAAAGTTCTTCCTAAGGTTTAGGTGGAATCTGTTTTCCTGTAATTTGAATCCATTGCTCCATGTCCTAGTCTCTGGAGCAGCAGAAAACAGACTTGCTCCATCCTCAACCTGACATCCCTTCAGATATATAAACATGGTTAGCATGTCACCGCTTAACGTTCACTTCCCCAGGCTAAACATATCCAGCTCCCTAAGCCTCCCCTTTTATTCTTTAAGGCTAAGTGTTTGCAAACTTTCTGGCTTTCTCGGGATTCTTTCTATATCACACCGCCTGTGCGCCTGCTGTGAAAGCTTTGTGTGAGTTTCTACTTTTAACTGATGCAAATGTTGAACTTTTCTGCCACTATCCAAACATCTTGTCAGCAAGATTTTGGGGAAATCTGTACCCCACATGCTCAAAAGCAATGGTGTCTGGTGGGTCTCCATGGCAAGGGTGCGGTGAATCCAATCCAGGTATTAATCCAGACCCTGAAGGAGTTGTCCAGGGTTCTGAGCCCTAGTCCACAAATAGGTTCAGCATCTATCCATCCATCCCTTTATTTATATCTCATCTTTCTCCCAATCTGGGACTTAATGCACTTTACAGAAAGGTATAAAATTACGATAAAAAAGCATATACTTAAAGCATGCAAAAATAAATTTAAAGCAGTGTTAAACAACAGAACAAAAATCATTTAAAATCTTACATTAGGAAAGATTAAAAACAGCATATGTGTGTGTGGCGGCCCCATGAATTTCAGTGCATTGTCTTAGGCATGGAATCCTCAGAGGTCCTTTGGCTAGTTCCTTCCTCTGAAATATAGCCTATAGCATCTGGTATTCGTCGGCAGTCTCCCATCTGAGTACTAGCCAAGGCTGACCCTGATCAGCTTCCAGGGCCAGGTAGGATCTGGAGCTTGTGTGTGTGTTTGTGCCTTCAAGTCACCCATTAACTTATGGCCACCACATGGATTCCATAGTTTTCTTAGACAAGGAGTACTTAGATGTGATTTTGCCAGTTCCTTCTTCTAAAATATAGCCTATATCACTTGGTATCCATTTGTGATCTCCCATCTGAGTACTAACCAGGGCTGACAATGCTTAGCTTCCAACTTCAGGTGGGATTTGGTGCTCTGTGCATTAGAGAGAATGTGCCTTCAAGTTGTCCATCAACTTATGGCAACTTCATGAGTTTCACTGGGTTTTATTAGGCCAGGAGTGCATAGATGTGGCTTTGCCTGTTGCTTCCTCAGAGATATAGCCTACAGTGTTGGATCTTTGTTGGTAGTCTCTCATCCAAGAGCCAACCAGGGCTGCTCCTGCTTACCTTGTAAGATCAGGCAGGATCTGGTGTCTTTAGGGTACAGTTGTTGTTTGTGGTTGTGTGCCTTCAAAACATTTCTGACTTATGGCAACCCTAAGGCTGCCATAAGTCGGACTTATCTTGGCAAGATTTGTTCAGAAGAAATTTGTCATTGCCTTCCCCTGAGGCTGAGAGCATGTGACTTGCACAAGGTCACCCAATGGATACAGCACCTTAAAAGCCCTTTTCTTGTTAAAAATCCATTTCCTAAGGAACAGAAAGGTCTTAACCTGCTGCCAACAACAAACAAGGAGCCATCCTAGTTTCCCTAGGTAGGGAGTTTGAAAATGTGGGAGCAGCCAGAGGGTCCTGTGAAGAAATCCTGGGATTTGTGGTTTGATAATTAGCCTTCTCTGTCCAAGGTGCCATAACTACAGATCCCAGGATTCCATAGCACTGAACCATGGCAATTACTGCATTGTTTCTGCAGTGCAAATGCAGTCCTAGACTTTCAAACATCCTGGGCATGAGCCATATACATCCCCAATTGTTGACCATTTTCTTTGCTACCTGGAACTGAGAACTGTCTATCCAAACTCCCTCCGATCAGCAAGGCCCAGCCCTGGATTCCCTTTTCCTTGGGTTGCATCCGCACTGCGGAAATTATCCAGGTTACACCACTTTAACTACCATGGCTCAATGCTCTGGAATCTAGGGGTTTGTAGTTTGTTGGGGGACCAGAGCTCTCCAACAGAGAAAGCTAAATATCTCACAAAATTATCAGTCCTAGAATTCCATAGCATTGTGTCATAGCAGTTAAAGTGGTGCCAACCTGGATTATTTCTGCAGTGCGGATGCAGCTTTGGTCACACTCCCACGTGACAGGATTTTGGAAGCTAGTTTTTCTGAGCGACAAAAAGTGGAGTTCTCCTCCTCCACAGTGTAGCAAGGACAAGCAGGCTGTGAGTTGCAACCTGAGTTTTAACCTAAGTGCATGTGCGCATACACAGAGAGAGAGAGTCCTACCACTTGCTTGCCTATAAGGCTGGGATGGCCATCTCTGGACACAGAAAAATGTGCTATGACAGCTGTGGCTCGAGGGAGAAAAGTGACAGCAAGCAACGTGGGGAGGTGCGTCTGTTGGGAAAATATAGGCAGAGGATGGTCCAACATAAAGAATTGAAATGCTTCTAATGCAATCTTCCAGCAATGTTGCTGTTATTAGTTTTTTTGTGGGTTTTTTCGGGCTGTGTGGCCATGTTCTGAAAGAGTTTCTTTCTGACGTTTTGCCAGCATCTGTGGCTAGCATCTTCAGAGAAAACTGAAATGGAAAAGCCTGGTTGTATATATACTGTGAGACCCTGGGTAGGGAGGAGTGGTTCCCAGGTGAACTGTGTGCTGTTCTGTGTTGAATAGGTATTGTTCTGTGTTAATGGCATCGCTTCAGGATATGCAGTCCAGGATATTGTCTGCTGTTCCCATGTAAACTGTGTATTGTTCTGTGTTGAATAGGTATTGTTCTGTTGTTAATGGCATGGCTTCAGGGTGAGAGGATATGCCATCAAGGCTATTGTCTGCTGGGAAAGCCCCTGACCCTGGTTGGTTTCCCATTTG